CCTAATAAATGATGGCTATTATGGTTTCCTTCTGACCTGTTGGACACATTTCTGTATCACTTATTTGAAAATTAATCATACACTGCTTTAGAATATCTCTTGTACTTACAATTTACTCTTATATTTTTATTTTACTTTCCCTGTGTCTATATTTTATTCTCCAACTACATGTAAACTCCCGGGGAGTGTGGTCCACATCTTGTAATTAACGGACTCTAACAGAAGGCGAAGCATACAGCAAATGCTTTAAAAATTTGCACATAGCAGGCCTCAGGAATACAAAATCATGCTCATGAACATTTAGAAAAGGTTCTTTGTGGAAGAAATCAAGGTTTTTTTTTTTTTTTCTTAAAATGATTCATGAGCAGGTTTATGTCTAAATGTTAACAGCAGAGCCATGTGGTGTATGCAGACACCCTAGATATTAAAAAGAAAGAGACTTTCAATTTATCTTTTTTTTTTTTTTAATTCTGCATCGGAAGCACTCCTGAGCGCAAATATATTTGAAATTTTATGTGGCCCTCCTATTGCAAAATGCTAATTGAATCGATTTCCTGGCGTTGCGTCACTAATAAGTAGAGTACATCACAGATCTGGAATTCTAGAGCCAAAAATATAGAACATTAATGTTTTTTGCTGAGAGAAAATAGTGTGTAGGAAAATATCTTAGCATCCAAGAGAGTCACAAAGGTGGGCCTTGGAGGATGGAGCTACAGAGTGAGTGACTGAGGGACTAGGTGATGGATTGCAGTGGGCTTTCTCCCACCCTCACTGTCTACTGGGCTGGCCAGGCCCACAGGATGCCCCAGCTGGTCCTGTCCATGTATAAATCTACCCACGCTGTAGGCACACACCTCACCACTTCCTACCAGTGTGGCCTTGGGCTACTTCTCCTTTCTAAGCCTCAGTTTGCTCATCTGTAACTATAAAATGAGTACCTACCTCCAGGGGTTTTATGAAGATTCAGTGAGATGATGTACATCGAGGACTTCACATGGTGTTGGGTACACAGTTCCAGCCCAATAAATGATAGTTGTTGCTGCTGGATCTGCCACTCTGGGTTGGGGGTGGGGGGTGGCATAGAGACAAGGCAGGGAAGAGATGACCATCTGCGTGCTGCGGAGAGTGGCAGTGCCACCATTCACACCCAGGTTCACACCCTTCTCCATACAGGTCTGCAGAGATGTCCCTTTGCTAGGGCAGGAACATACTGATGTCTTGGAGGAGCACTTCAACCATAGGGACTATGGGGGTTTAGGTCAGAAGGCTCCATGACCTCAGGCCATGGCCATCTCAGATCATTCTTGAAAGCCAAATCTGCTTAGAGTTCCATGTGAACTGCTCCTCAAGAGAGCCTTCTCCTGTCTCAGGGAAAATGCTTTGAATAGCAAGTAACAAGACCATGAGTCAAGTGGCTTAAACCACAAAGATGGATGATTGACTCCATAACTGAGGGCATCCCAAACAGTAGTGATGAGGTCCCCTTGGGGCTCTGCCCTGCTCCATGCATGCTTTGCCCCTCGTCTGCCTGCAAGATGGTGACTGCGGCTCTTGGCCTTCCATTCTCACGTACAATCTCCAGGGAAGGAGAAAGAAAGAGAGTTGGCTCCAGAAACTTCCTGGAGAGAAAATGGAAGTTTTTTTCTCCAGAAGCTACCAATCATCTTCGCCTCTCATCTCACTGACCTAAACTTGGTCTCACGCTTTTCCCTGAACCCTGTGGCTTGTTGAATGCTAGGTGCTGACTGACTTGATATTGGTACTGGGTCCCAGGTCCACCCCTAATCAGTCACTGAAACAATGCTGACGGGGTAAGCTGATTAGCTTAGGCTAACTCAAGTCCATCCCTGGTGCTGGAGTCCATCCCCCAAGGCTCAGGATTGCCACTGCAAGAGGGAACTGTGGGACAGATGTTGGATAGACAACCACAGTGTCTACTACGTGTTGACACTCAGCATCTCATTCAATCCAGCAAATAATTATAACATGCCTGCTGTGTGCCAGGCAGGATGCAGGATGCCAGGACGACATGAAGGGTCCAGTGTTGATGAGAGCAATAAATGAGCCACTTACGCAAAGTGCCTGGTGCAGCGCTCGGCCCCTAATACCTGCTCAGCGTTGTCTTCATTAAAATGAATAAGGCATGAGTGATCTGTGCTACTCAGGAGCTTGTGGTTTGGTAAGGCAGAGAGAGCGACTTAACCAAATTACAGCAGTGTGCCGAGAGTGGCGAGCACAGAGATAGAGATCGCACAGGAGCATGCAATAGCCCCAGTCTTAAGAGCTTATAGCCTAGTGGTTCTTAACCTTCACTTCGCATTTGATTCACCTCAAGAGCTTCTAAAACTCCTCACACCAATTAAATCAGACTCTCTAGGGGTGGGACCCGGCACCGGACATCGGTTTGTCTTTTGAAAGATTCCCAGATGATTAAAATGTGCAGCCAGGTTGAGAACAACTGTTGTAGCCAATTGAGGATATAAAACATACACGGGTAAACCAGTACTAACAATGTCAGGGTGTGAGGGGTATGTTTAAAATGAACTGTCAGTATTCCAAGGCTCAGGAGAGGAAGACGGCATGGTGGGCTGGGGAATCAAGACAGGGAGAGGGCTCGTGAGTCGTAGGGAGATGAAGGCTTAAGGAGCCTTGAAAGATGGATGGTATTTGCCCAGTCTGGGAAACTTGGAGGTGGGCATCTCAGTATGAAGAGGAATAGATATGAGTAAAATTATGTGAGGTAGGGAGGGTAGAAGTGTATTAGTTTAGCTCTAATCAGGAAAGAAAGCCACACGGTGATTTCAACAGGGAAATAAAAAGAATTATTAACTGTAATAGGAGGCTGGAGTAACAAGGGATTTGCTAGTGAGAAAGAAAGGGAACGCTAAATAATATAGGAATATCAGATGTAAGCAGCCATAACCCCTAGGACCAAGATAGATAGAGCACTCAAGGGAGCCCCCACCACCGCCACAGATTGAGGTCCAGATTTTGTTGGCATGGCCATGGCTCACAGTGGCAGAGAAGTCGCTGTGGTGGTATGCTAACAGAACTGGCTGGAAATCTGCCCTTTCAGATCTGGGGGAAGCAGTTCACAGGGAGGTGTCTCACCATAAGCTACTCAGCCCTCTGCTACAAAACCACCCAGAGCCAGGAGTGCTGGGGGAAGCTGCTGGCCGCCAAGCACTGGGGACACCACACCATTGTCAGAGCCTGCAGGTGGAGCACAAGAGAAGCAGGGAGCAAAACCCAGAATGTCTCCTACGGCAAACGGAGGCTCAGAGAGGTTACAGAAAGCTTCCCATGGAATTAATTAGCAAAGCTGTAATTCAACCCAGATACTTTTTTCTTTTTCTTTTTTTAATGTGTTCTGCTTTCTCTCTGAACAAACTCCAGTGTAAGATCAAGGCCAGGTCTGCCCATGTAGGCTGCCCAGAGATGGAAGAGGTCTATGTCCAGGGAACTCAGTGGGGAAGGCCTCCTGAAGAAGGGGGGCTTCAAACAGACCTAAGGGGAGGCATGATTTGGAAAACCAGGGAGAAAATGGGAGAGGTGGCTTCCAGCCTGGGTTTGCAACATAAGCCTCACTGAACACTTTCATGTGGGTGAGAGTGGACATGAGTTCAGACAGGACTCAGCACAGGTGGTGCAAAAAACAATGGCAAATGGAAAGGAGGAGATGAGAGAATGTTTTGCAGTGTTGGAGGCAGAACAGAATCAGGGAGGTCTTTATACACCAACGGCCCGGAATTTGAGCAGATGTGAAACCACATCATTGCGAGAGCCATAGCCCATGGAAATAGTGTTTCTAAAATTCCTCAATTGCATGCCAAGCTCTTAGTAGAACTTAGGGGAGCAAGTACCAGCTTTGGAGTCAGACAGACCTAGATGAGAGTATCAGCTCCAATGCCTAGTTGTGCGGCCAGAGCAAATACGTCAACCTTTCTTTTTTTTTAATATTGTTGAAAATATACACAGCAAAACATACAATTCAACAATTTCTACACGTACAATTCAATGATATTGATTACATTCTTCAAATTGTGCAGCCATTCTCCCCCTCCTCTTCTGATCTGTTCCTCCCCTGTTGACAGAGACTCACCTCCCCCTAGGCTTCTATTCAACCTTTCCAGTTGCCATTAACAATCTTATCCCATACAGTAAGTTCTTTCTTTAAAAGAGCACAACGCTCACCAGAGATATTCTTTATTAGTTATGATAGACTGTTGTTTGGTTTAAAGATGGCTCCGAGCAGTAGATTTGGGAGTTCATCAGCCTTAATGGCTTCAGAAAGTCTGGATTCTATGAGAACTGAAATTCTGTTCTGCATTTTTTCCTCCCTTTGATAATGGTGATGGTAGCCGGGCACCATCCCCTCTTCTGATCCCATGGCAAAGAAGGTGGTTGTTTGTGGAGGCAATCAACCATGCATTCCATTTCCTCTTCCTGACTCTTCTCTGTTGCTGCAGGTGAATAGAGACCAGTTGTTGTACCTTGGATGGCTACTTGCAAGCTTTTAAAATCCTAGATACTACACAACTAACTAGGAATTACCTCAACCTTTCTGAGATTCAGGGCTCCTAATCTGCCAGTTGGAAACAATAGTACCTTCCTTGCAGGCATGTTCAGATGCAGTTCCTGGCAGAGAGCCCAGCATAGAGTAGGCCTTTAATCAATAGTAACTTTCTCTTCCTGCTATTTTCACACTGTAGGTCCCTCTCCCTCCTGTCTACTGAGACACGTGTGCCCCTGAGAGTAACTGTTTTAAAATTCAGAAATTCCATGATTCCTAAATTTGGTACAGCTGGGGAATCAGGATGTTAGTGGCATATACCATCCTCTTGCTGAGATCCTGGTCCCTGAGTTCACCACTCAGAAGGGAGAGCTCAGGTTTTGTTGACACACGAAGTATCCTTGGCTCCATGGTAAGATGGTACCTGGAGGTGGTGTCTCCTACTTGGTCTTCACAGAACAAATAACAGTGCTTCTCTTTCTTTTAGGAGGAGAAGTCACCAAACCCCGGTTTGCTCAGTTCTTCCACGGCAGCCTGGCCAGTCTCACCATCCGCCCTGGCAAAATGGAGAGTCAGAAGGTGATTTCCTGCTTGCAGGCCTGCAAGGAAGGGCTGGATATTAATTCCTTGGAAAGCCTCGGCCAAGGAATAAAGGTAAGGGAGGAGCTGGCCTCACCCCTTGTCTTAGTTATCTAGTGCTGCTATAGCAGAAGTACCACAAGTGGGTGGCTTTAACAAACAGAAATTTACTTTCTCACAGTTTAGGAGGCTAAAAGTCCGAATTCAGAGCCTCAGCTCTAGGGAAAGGCCTCTCTCTGTCAGCTCTGGAGGAAGGACCTTGTCACTTCAACTTCTGATTCCTGGTTCCTTAGAGATTTCCATGTGTCTTGGCATCTATCTTACCCCATCTCTCCTTTGCTCCCCTGTTTAAGCTCTTTTATATCTCAAAGAGATTGACTCAAGATATACCCTACACTAATCCTGCCTCATTAACATAACAAAGACAACCCATTCCTAGATGGGATTATAACCACAAGCATAGAGGTTAGGATTTACAACATTTAGAATAATCACATCAGATCACAAAATGGATGACAACTACACAATACTGGGAATCATGGCCTAGCCAAGTTGACACACATTTTTGGGGGACACAATTCAATCCATAACACCCCTGACAATATAGAACAATAGAACATTGATCTATGAGGCTGAAGCTGCCCAGCACCAGTGTGCTCCAAAAAATGGAGTAACGTCCTGTAAAGCTGCACAGAAAGGGACCATGGCAAAGGTGCTGCCTCAGGGGGAGATAGGATTAGTGACCTTGACTTCCACAACGGACTTCTGCTCCTATCTCCTGAAACTCCTATAGAAGCCCTGTGTATCATCAGTTCACCACACAAAAGTAGGCCCATGTTCAATGTCAACCTGGAGGGAGTTGTCATACTTCATTTATTCATGGGTTGGTTGGATGCTTTGTTCACCTAAAGAAACTGAGGCAGCGTTCAAGGACACATTTCAACAATACAAATAAAAAAAAGTTAGGATCATATAGTATACAAAGTAGAAGGGAAGGTCAAAACGGGTGGGGTGGAATTAGAAAGTAGATATGGAGGTCACTCACTGGGTCCTCCATTGTTAAACTCAAGTGCACAGATTAGGCTATGAGCAATCTCTAATAGTCAAAGGCAATGGGAACAGATTCAGATTTTTATTGTTTGTGAAGATGAAAACACTCAAGTTATCCAAAAGAATGAGAGCTACCTTCTGAGGAGTTCCTCCTTAGGCAGACTGGAAAGGATGTGTCCTTAGCAAGAACCCTCTGAGAAGCAGGGTTAGGTTCTGGCCTCACTTGGACTTGAGGAACACCTGGTGGCATCAGGTCTCTGGTATCCTGAGCAAAATACAGAGTAAAGGAGTCCCTGGGTGGCGCAAATGGTTAAGCAGTCGACTACTAGCTGAAAGGTTGGTGGTTCAAACTCACCCAGTGGTTCCATGGAAGACAGTCCTGAAGATCTGCTTTTGAAAGGTCACTTCTACTCTGCACACATGGGGTTGTGATGAGTCAGAATCAACTTGATGGCACTAACAACACATACAAAACACAGGGCAAAAATCATCCTTGATGACTGAGCCCCACTCAATTACAATGGACCCAAGTGTGAGAATCTGTCACTCAGTCTCTTCTCTGGAAGTCGGGGTAGCCCATGCTCTGTCCCCGCAGCACAGGACAGCCCCACACAGGCCCCAGCAGCTGTGAGGGCTTCCTTTATTGGTGGTCTCCCACGGGTGGTGTAGCCAAAGCAGAGGTCTCACCCCCTCACCTCCCACCCCCACCCCATGCTGCACCCTGGAGCTCAGCCCTGCCCTCCCACATCTCAGCCTGCCCCTCCTGGACAGGAGATCCCGCCCCTCCAACAGAAAGTCCCCTTACTTACCCTTTCAGTGGCCTACTGGTTGTGGGGCTCTGACGCTGGGTAACCCGGACGGCATACTGGTCTGAGCATGTTGTGGTTTTCTTTTAGCTGCAGTCACTTCAGCAAACACACCGTGGACACTGAGTGTCCAGTTCTGGGCTGGGCACTGGGATACAAAGTGAATGTCAGGTAGTTACTTCCCCCAGGAGCACAGTGGCCCAAGCAGACATTTGTACTGAAGTGTGATAACTGCCACAATGATTGAGTGCTAACGCTTCCTGGGGCCTCCTGAGCACCAAGCACTGTTCTCAATGCTTTAGGGAGTGACCTCATTTAACCCCACACCAGCCCTAGGACAAAGGTGCCAAAAGTATTCCCATTTTGCGCATGAGGAATTGAGGACAGGAGGGGACAGGGTTAGTAACAAGCAGAGCCTGAATCTGAACACAGGCAGTCCTGCTCCAGGGCTCCAGACCTGGGGGAGCGGCAGTCAGGGAAGGCTCCTTGCAGGAGGGGAAGCCTGAGCAGAACGCTAAAGGACAGGTAGGCTTTAGCCAGGAAAAAGGCAAGGAGAGGGGATGGAGAGAAGGGAGTGACTCCAGGCAGACCTGAGCGTGAACCACGGTAGAAAGCTGAGGAATAGCACAGCCTGCACTGGCCAGGGTCACAGGTGCACATCGCAGGAGGAAAAGGGTGGAGAGAGTGACCAGAGAGTAGGGAGTAACCATGTTACTAGAATCCCGTTAATCGTGTTTGCAGTTTACATTTTTATGTATTTTTTAACAGCTTTATTGAGACATAATTCACACGCCATACAGTTCACCCATTTAAAGGGTACAATTCAGTGATTTTTAGGATATTCACAGATATGGGCCATCATTACCACATTCGATTTTAGAACATTTGTATCACCTCAAAAAGAAACGCCACTTTAGCTATTGCCCCCCTATATATCCATTCCTCCCTGGCCCTAAAAAACTACAGATTTACTGTCTGTCTCTTTAGATTTCCCTGTATTGGACATTTCATATGAATGGAATCAGGTCTTTTGTAGATATTTATTTCTGTTGGCAATAGGAAGCCATTTAAAGGCTCCAGGCAAGGGAACGTGATCTCAGAGGGGGCCGGGGGGTGAGATGGGAGGAGTGCACAAAACATGGTAAGGCAAGAACAAGAACAACTTTGCAGAATGTTTTTATTTTTTTATTGTGCTTTAGATGAAGTTTACAGAGAAAACTAGTTTCTCATTAAACAATTAATACACATATTGTTTTGTAACATTGGTTGCCAAACCTGCGATGTGTCAACATGCTCCCCTTCTCGACCTTGGATTCCCCATTATATTTGTCCAGCTTTCCTGTCCCCTCCTCCTGCCTTTTCATCCTTGCCCTTGAGCTAGTCTTCCCATTTAGTCTCGTTTGGTTTTATGGGACTGCCTAATCTTTGGCTAAAGCGTGAACCTCAGGAGTGACTTCAGTACTGAGTTAAAAGGGTGGCCAGGGGCCATACTCTCAGGGTTTCTCCAGTCTCTGTCAGGCCAGTAAGTCTGGTCTTTTTTTTTGTGAGTTAGAATTTTCTTCTGCATTTTTCTCCAGCTCTGTCTGGGACCCTCTATTGTGATCTCGGTCAGAGCAGTCAGTGGTAGTAGCCGGGCACCATCTAGTTGTTAGTTGTACTGGACTCAGTCTGGTGAAGGCTGTGGTAGCTGTGGTCCATTAGTCCTTTGGACTAATCTTTCCCTTGTGTCTTTGGTTTTGTTCATTCTCCCTTGCTCCAGACGGGGTGAGACCAGTGGAGTATCTTAGATGGCTGCTCACAAGCTTTTAAGACCCCAGACACTACTCACCTAAGTAGGAAGCAGAACATTTTCTTTACCAATTATATTATTGTAGAACACTTTTAAATGTGGATTCAGCATGCACACACACACATACATGCAAGTGCTCCTTTAAAAAATTTATTTTTTGTTGTTGAGAATATACACAGCAGAACATATACCAACTCAACAATTTCTACATGTATAATCCAATGACATTGATTACATTCTTCAGGTTGTGCAACCATTCTCACTCTCCTTTTCCAAATTGTTCCTTCACCATTAACATAAACTCACTGCCCCCTAAATACACTGGTGCTTTTAATGCCTAATCACAAAGGCAAAATCATATGATCAACTTCTATTGGAAAAGCTGGCAGAAAATCCATCCTCCAACCCTCCTATCTTGGTTTCCTAGTGCTGCCATAACAGAAATACCACAAATGGGAAAGAACAGAAATTTATTTCCTCACAGTTCCAGAGGCTAAAACAACTACAAATCAGAGTCTCAGCCATGTCAGTTCCTTCTATGGGCCTCTCTTAGTTTCTGGTGTCTGCCAGTATTCCTTGGAATTACTTGGCATTCCTTGAAGTTCCTTGGCATTCCATGAGATTCCTTGGTGTCTGTCTTTTCCCTGTGTGTGCCTGTCTTCATATGCATCTTTTTTTAACTCAGAAGTTATTAGGTTTAGGACCCACCCTACTCAGGAATGACCTAATTGACATAAATAAGAAAACCCTATTTCCAAACAGAATCACGTCCACAGGTATAGGAGTTAGTATTTCCACACATATTTTGTGAGGACACAATTCAATCTACAACACCTCCCTTCTCTGTTTGATCCTGGATTTACTCCTTGCCTCTGAGTAGATCTTCTCTGCTCTGAACCATTTTGTGGAGCCACAGTTTCAGGGTTCCAGGCCCTATAGAGCAAATAAGGCTAAGACGCTAGACTTAATAGTCACAAATTCTTAGAATTATAAGTAACCATAACAATTTCTGTACAGGAGTAATAGCCTATGAAAAGAAGATGTGCTAAAATAAGTGGCCCCCCAAAAAACTGTGAGGGATAGAGAGGTTAATCACCATGCCACCTGCTCATATCTGAGTCCTGGCAAATGATTCCTTTCCATCCTCAGGGCGCAGCTGGTAAGAACCACAGCACTTTGTTAGAAGTTAATGATAAGAGACACAATTTGTGGAGCACCCACTGGGTACTATTTTACATTCATTATCCCTACTCCTTACAACAAATTAAATATTATGACCCTATTTCAAAATTAAGGAGATTGGGGCTCAGGGACTTGCCCGAAATAAGCCTATGCTCTTTCCTCCACACCAGCAACTCAGATTGGAAGACGTTCTTGAAAAGTATTCAGACTTCTTTCCTTCCCTCCATGTATCCATCGCTTTCTCAATA